ATGTTAATTCAAGACCAAGATCACATAATTGACCAACAAATAGAAGATTGTAACTAAGTTTTAGAACCAAGAGAATGTTTGGTAAAGTTAATGAATTTGTGGGAATATTGCCAATATAACTAATATTCATAGGGGAGCCATTAGCAGAATAAATGTTAAGAAAGAAATAATTTGGTGACATTGAAAAGAAATAAGCAGTAGTTGAAGATATATGATTATAATAACTAGAATCAAAATACCAAGGTTTAGTACCTGGAGCAATAGATAAGGCAGTAAAAGCATTAAATAGATTGGTTGACAATAGATTGGTTTATCACTTATTTAACAATCATAACAATAGCAGGATGAGTCAAAGTTCTTTCAAAACTAGCATAAAATCAATAAAACTCACAATATTGAAAAAAAATCTCCAAAAATATGAAGAAATAGATGTCAAAATTGAAATAATAACTCAACAAAATATCTCAGAAAAGGCTTGAGAATTAAGAATAAACAATCTAATTTGGAGGAGAAGAGATCCCAATGATAGAGTTCTAAATTCAGAATGGATATGAAAATGCAACTAAAAAAACTAAGCAATGATGATAAAAGAGAAGAACCAAGAGCTTATAGCTTTGATACCATGTTAGAAACTTAGAGAAGAGAAAAATCTAAAGAAAGGTTTATTGCTCTCTTGAATTATATTGTATATACAATGACTTATATATAGATATTTACAAAAAGAATATTTTTAGATAGAAAATATTTATACAATAAATGTGAATAGCATGAATGTAATATAAATAATTGATTGTCAATTATTGTGTTTACATCTTAACACTCACTTCCAGACCCCTTCACCCCAAAAACCCAACTCACTTACTCTTGCATCCACCCTCCTTACAAGATTCTTTAATCTAGGAAACTCATCATCTTGTAAGCTTCCTTCACCAAGCCACTCATCTTTTCTGAAACTTAATTCTATTATCGTCACTACAAGAAAGATCACATTCAGTGACTAATTTATTAGTCACTAAATCCTTTTTTTTATCATAAGTTAAAATTAGTGATGAAATTTAAATTGTTAGTAAAACCTTTATCATTAATGTTCTTAATGACGATTTTGGCACTTGTTACAGAAACAAATTTTATAATGACGAAAAAAAAATCAATATTATTAATAAATTGTTTATAATAATTTTATTCATCACAAATAACACTAATTGTGATAGAAATGTTCATCACAAATGCTACAATTGGGTTACGAAAAAAAAGGTCACTAATGTAATTAAATATTTGTGACAAAATAATTGATCATCAATTATTTAAACTGATATTAAACCAAAAGAGTATTTTTGTAATTATAACATACATTTGTGATGGATCTTTCCTTCACAAATACACTAAAGTATTTATGATAGAAAATTTGTCACCAGTTATCTAAATAGAAAAGGATAATAACATATGTATTTGATCATAAATTTCGTCACATAAAGATATTGAATTGAAATTTAATCAATTACCAATCAATATTGATCACAAATTTAATTTCAAAAGAATGATTATACCAATTTTAGTAAGATAAAATATTTTTAAAATAATATACAAAAGATAAATTTTTATTATCAAAGAAAATTTAATAATAATTTAGTCTTATAATGGAACTACAAATAATTTTTTTATCAACAAATAAAAAATTTTATTCAAAGAAACTTTAACTTATTATTACAAGGTTCCCACAATAAAAATACATATCACATATCACACCCTGCAATCTTGTTTCAATCTCTATGTGTAATTGCTATATAACTCTGGTTCAACTACTAAGGCAAAGTGCATCATTACTCACACAACTCCATTTAGACATCTTATAGCCTATATAATAAAAAGAAATCCTAACTCATATACATACAAAATTGACCTTCATACATATCACAATAATTAGCTTGAACGTACTACAGAACCTCAAAAAACACAAGCACAAAAAAAACAGAGAGCCAGAAATCCTCTCCGGTCCTTGCTTGGCCATAGACTTCGAATATAACGATGAAAAGACCCTGAAAAAGTCAATAGTACCAAAAAACACATAAATCAAATGACCAAAACTAAAATCTAATTGTAATTAATTATAATTGCCAATACACTTTCTCCTTGGTTATTAAAGATTATCTAATTGCGCCAAAGCCATATCAAACCAAATTGTCATCAAATCCTTTCTTTAACTCTTTCTTTGCTTAACCACAAGCGGATGAATGAATTGGTAGGGGACTCTTCCAGTTTAATCAGAGATCTTAGTTTCAAGCCTTGAAAATGCAGCTCTTAAAACTCATGAGGGAGAGTTTTGCCGCCTGTTGGATTCTGTCCGGCTCAAATCCGAATTAATCAGTAGCTCAACGGGTGTGCACACATCATTTTCCTTATATTTTCTATTTAATGTTAAAATTTTTATATTATCTCATATATTTAATAGTATTAAAAATTAATCAATTCGACTAAACCACACTGATCTGATTTTAGTTGGATTGGTTTGGTTATCATATAATAGTGAATTTAATTGGTTTAAAAATTTTACTAATCGATTAAATTGGATTGGTTTAAAAAATATTAAAATCTAAATCAAACCACACCACGAACACCCCCAAGTAGAGGTGTTCATATCTGATCCAATCCAATTAATCCGACCTAAACTGATCCGATCCAATCAAAAACCGATCCAAACTGATATAAAATTGGGTTGGTTTGAATTCTAAAATTTTAAAACCAATATAATTGGTTTGGTTTGTGGTTTTACCTTCAAACCGCCCTAACTGCCAGATTACAAAATAAAATCTGATTAGAAGATAATTTAAGTAAATAATATAACATATTTTTTGTAATATTTTAAGTTTTCTTTTTCTTATTTTATAAGATTATAACTCCATTAACTTAATTTAAAAAATAAGAATATCTCCATATTCCCTAAGTTATTTCTCCATTTTAATCAAACACTCTAACTTTAATTTTAAATTTTTAATTCACCTGCAACTCTATCCTCTTAGAACTGGTTTGTGCCTTTACTCTTAGAACCCTAAATTTCTAATTTATTCTTAAAATAATCTTATGATTTTCCTAACTAAGTTTTAAATAAGTATTATTCTAAAAGCCTTAAAACCATATAATAAAATTAGTTTTAATATTCAACTATTCTTAGATATTTGGTTTAAAAGTTTTAAATTTTGATTTTGAATGCTTCTCATCAATTTTAGTAATATTCATGTTAAATGTTAATTTACTTTTAACAGGATTTAGAAAATGTGATTAAATTATTAGTGTATTAAGAAAAAAAATTAATTTTAACCTTCAAGATTATTTATGCTGTGCTAGAAATTTGAAATTATTTTTTATTATTTTTGGTACCTCTAGTGATATAACGAAGAAGAATTTTCAGAGCTTTTCAATTTTTACAAATGTAGAGGAGTATAAGAATTCGTTTATAATTTTTACCTTTTATTATATTTTTACTGATTTGAATGTTAATATATTTTATAGTTATACTTTCTATTTGATATTAAAATATTTTTACATTATCTTATATATTTAATAATATTAAAAACCGATCA